CAGGTAGGACCCCGCGCCGGGAGGGTCCCGCACCTGCGCAGCTCGGCTGGGCGAGCGCCGCTTTCGCCTCTTCTCCTCCCAACTCTCTCGGCCCAAGTTCCGCAGTCGGAGCTGAGGCGCAGCCGGCCCCTGCAGCGGGGCTGGAGACGAGCCGAGCTCACCTGGGGCTAACGCGGCTACGTCCAGCGGGTGCCAAGGGGCCGCCGCTGGTAACAGCCGTCCGGCCAGCATCCCTTCCTCTGCCGCTCCCCTAAGTTTCTGCCTTCGTATTGGCCATTCCTTCAGACAGCATCAAAGAGGGCATCAATACTTTGCTTGTTACTGTAGACTAGCCATAGAGAAACGTATCTCGGCATAGACCACTTAATTATACACGCTGCTACCTCATCTGTAATTTATTGAACACCTTCCACTTCCAAACTGTCATAGAAATTACAGTTTCTACAGCCCCTAAGAATACCTGCCATAATACACATCAACATGATTATATGTGCACTTCAGGTTTTACGTCAGACCCCTTTAGTTACCCTGAAGTACGGTTTAGGATTCTGGAAAAAATTGCTAGCAACTGTAAAATTATGGTCTGAAATGATGACAAAAAATGCTGAAGCAGATGCAGATCATGCAATAGGAATTTCAATATAAGTGTATTTTTATTCGAAGAATATATTTTTTTGAAACCTGAAAAAGAGGACTATGTATTAAAATGCATTGCTTGCGCCCTTGGAAAACGACACAGCTAAGTTTGTGTGTGTGTTCGTGTGTGTGTGTGTGTGTGTGTGCATGTGTGTATGACAAAAAAGACAGTTTAGTGGCAATTAAACATGTTCGTTTGTATACAGACACAGAACAGGTGTCAGAAACATAGATTTTGAAAGATAGGTTTCAAAACCCAATCTTACTAACTTGTGAATTACTTTAATTTTTAACTCCGCAAAATCTAGAAGAGTAAATATACAAGCAGCTTCAGGAGGATTCATGAGTTCATAATTGTCCTTTTAGATGAACATTTCTGCAGAAGAAAAAGGTAGCACACAACACTTGCATTTTATGTTCATCACAGTTCAAAAATAATTATTCTGTGTGTCTTAGAGAGCCCGTAATCTTAGTGGCAATGCTTAATATTTATCATTCCCTCCCCATATATGTAAAGCTTTTTTAAGTGAAGACATGGTTAATATTTTCAGAGAAGAGCATCCTACTCTACTGTTTGTAGAGCCTGACTGAAAGCGCATTAAAGGCAAAGATTTAAGTGGAAATTAAAATAAGCTCATAAAAAAGAAACCAAATTGTATATTTAATTGATATGATGTTTCATTTGCTTGAAAATTTGAAATTATATTTAAATGAGAAATACCATTGGAAGGGCTGAGTCAGTTTTAATTAATATGGACAATTATGTTGTAAAGAAAATGATCATTCAGTTTAATTTTCTTTTGAAAATGTTTGCCCTCAGGGGAAAGTGTGTTCTTGTGGAATTTAGCTATTCTTGCAGAATGCAAATGTGTGAATAGAAGCAATATTTCTTGTCAGTAAGTAGTGAATGATTAAGAGGACAGCAAAGTGTGTGGATTTTCTGCCGATATGAATAATAACATATAATCAGATGTTCTATTCAGTGCTTTCTGAGAGTCTGTTCTTGTTAATGCTTTTACCTCCTCTGCCTCTTTCATTCCTCTTTTATCTCTGCATGTGCTGCCTTCTGAATAGGCACCCAAGCTTTGCTTCCTTCTTCACTCTAGGAGTCTGGAACAGTCTCCTAAGTAATGTTCTCCAGACTGCTTAATCAAAACGTTTCTTAATACCTAACTATAAAGTGCAGCGTTCCACTTGCCCAGCCTTCTACCATCCCCCCTGGCATTTCAAAACCAGGATGCTAACCGGACGCGTGTCCTTTCATTGTCCCCAGCTCGTAAGACCCAGGACATGCACCACAACTCAGGACGCCATCCCACATGGGCTGCTCCCCTATTCCCAGGAGCTGCTGCTATCACTGGTAAAAATTAGGCTGAGCAGATCTGGCACTACGTGTACAGCTTCTGTTAGTGGTCAAGCGTTTAAGAGATTAGGTAGCATTGTCAATAGGTAGTGCTGAAATGGAAAGCATTAAGCGAGAGAGAAGTTACTACTGACTTTCTGTAATACTGGTGTATTCAATATTTTCAATAGTGACCTCAATGCAAAAAGTAAGAGCGAGCAATTGTAGTGTTCTAGTAACACAAAGATGAACATGAGCATCAGTAGAGAGGAAGATTGTCGTAACACAGAGAAGTTTTTGATGACTTCAGTAATGAAATGGGAAGCAATGCAACAGTACAAAGTGTGGTAGCTTGGAAAATAATGGAAGTGTCTGTTAAAAACTCCATCTATAACAGAAGCACACTGACTGGGAGTGTTTGAGGAGATGTAGGACTTGGTCATCCTAGCTGACATCAGCCTTATGAGATACGAAGGTTTTTCAACCACAAAAGGCAAGCAAAATCCTAAAATGTGCCAGAGAGCTATTTCCTGTAGCTAGTGGTAAGCATTAAGGATTAAGGTAGTTAAGTCATGAGATTTCTTATCCGGAGTATACTGTACAATTATTCATATTACATCGGGCCCACAGGAAGGCCGTTCTGAGGACTTGGGGAATAGGTGGTCTATTATATGAAAGGAGACTAGGTGAGAGATAGAGTCTAATAGCTCTGGGCATAACCTTGCAGTGATGCATCTGTGTTGTTTCCAGGGGAATGACTTATGTCACAAAAGCTTGGGACGAAGGCACGGTGGTGTTGCGTTTGTTTGGTAACTTCCATATGAACATACCCTAAAAATATAAGCTAGGAAAGGCTATAATATATATTAGCCATGAATAAATTTGTAATTAGAAAGAAATTAGGCTTGAAATGAGAAGATGATGAATAACCATTGATGCTTTGCAGGAATTCTCCAAAGAAGAAATGTGAAGGGAAAAAATAATCTTAATTATTAAGATGGAACAAGATCAATTTTTAAAAAAATACTATAATGATTGGCTTCCTATGCTAGCAGAAATCTGGTGCGGACTAGCATGGACTTATAAAAACGCCCCTTTCAGTCCCATATTCCTGTGGAAGTTAAGATACCATGATGATGACTCCTAAAATTAAGGAACAGGTGGAATCTCTCCACAGATTCTGTGGGAGAGTGTTACATCCTAATAACATGGATCATTTTAATGAAACAGAGATTTGACTTGTATTAACATGGAATAGAGTTTACTTTAGCTTCGGTTTAAATATAAGTGTATTGTTTGAGTCTAGACTGCCTGTACTCTGGGGAAGACAAAGGCTAACTGGAACTTTATTTCAGCAGAATGTTTAACTGATTTCTGTATATAGCTTATCTTTGAGTTGTGATTGCTGTTACATTTTCAAAGCAACAGCTTTTCCTTGTGCTTCTGTGAAGCCCAAAGTAGAAATATTTTTGACTATGTTTTCTTTTTCAATAGTTACGTTTACCCTATTCACCAAATCACAGGTCTTGCGAATGCACTGAGCTATTAAAAGCCAATGGAATTAGTAAATGAAAATCCTAAGGATTTCATTTAGAATACTTTATTTTTTGTGTATACATTGCAAGAGCTTGTATGTCAAACTCTAGTCTATCTCAATCCCCTCATCAGTAAAATTATTCTTAATTTATCCAAGAGTAATTGAAACTAAATTTTGTCAAGTACTCATAACTAGCATTCATCTAATTTCTTAGTTGCTACTTAAGGAATATTCTTTAAAATAAATATTTAAAATCTTCGTCTAAAGTTAGAAAAGGTGGTAAATAGTAATTATGAAAATCATACTAATTTTTATTGAAAAATGTCAGGACAGTTTTTTTTAATGAAATGACTGCAGATTTGTGGGCCTTTCTAACAGTGAATTGAAATTCCCGAATCTTTTTACTCACTTCAATAAGCTTTATCAAGCTTTAAAAAGGCAATGATTTCCATTTTAAAATAATGGTTTTATCTTATGCTGTAATTACCTAAAGCCTCTTCACAGTCAGTCCCTTTAGATCACATTGCTACGCTTTTGTCTATTATTCATTTCAAAATCATTGATGTGCTTGAATTCTGTGCGCTGAATTCAAATGTCTGTGATTTATGATAAAATAATAAACCTATGTTTCTTATTTATTCCCAGATTCAGAAGAGGAAATGAAAGCGTTAGAAGCAGATTTATTGACCAATATGTATACATCAAAGGTAATTATTTTTCCTCCTTTAGCTGACAGGCAGAGAGCAAATAAATTCTCATTACAAACCTAGAAGTCTTTGCACAAAGTAATAACCTGTGGTCTAGACCTAAAAGTTCAGTGCTAGACATTACTTGGGTACAAAATTTTCTTCAGTTCAAAGGAAATTTAAAGGTGTTGATATGACACACAAAAAGTGTCCCTCACTCCTAACACTGGTACTTTCATTAAACTGTCAAAACTGTGTTATGTGTAGAGATGTAAAGTTATATGAGGAAATGTGTTTCCAATAGGATTACGTCTGATGAAAGCTAAATTAACCTTGAGTCAAATCCATAGGTGAAATTTTTATGCAGAACTTTTTCTATATGCATGTAAAATTAATAGTCGTAAAACAAAAGCTGTTACTACATATGCTGATTTTGGTTTAGGAATTTCTTCATAGAATTAGTACAAGAACATGGGGACATGACTATGAAACGATGAATCTGATAAGCATTTCCTTGACAAGAGACCAAACTGTAAGCCATGTACATGTTGTTTATTACAAACAGACAAAAGTTCAGTTGCAAGCTCATATGCACGTGAGTGAAGCAGCAAGTGTTGAACATATGTATTGGACAGGCTGACAGAGAAACACTTTCTCAACACTTCTATTTTCCACAAACGAACTAAGAAATATGTGCTTGTCTAACATTTCTTCAGCAACGTATTAAAAAATAAACCCGGAAAAAGTTTTAAGGGCTTAAGGTGGAATGCTTTAACACTTTGTTCTTGTGATGTTCAGCTGTTGCTTAATTTCAGTGGAAAATGAAATTACATTTTTATGACAATTTAAAAAAAAAAAGAAAAGAATTTTCTAAGTCAATGACTAGATGAAGGTTAAGGATAAAGCCTGCCTGGAAGATTTCTTCTATATTTTTGACATTTCCTTGTATATGAACATTTTTGCAGTATCCTTTGAATAGCCTAGAATAAGAAATCAGCCTGGAAGAGATGATGTTTTGATCTTGTGTGGTAGTTCTTAGGTTCTCATGTTCTTTACTCGGATGGTATTTGGCCTTAGATGCCAAACAAACCTGTTTGCCACTTGCTTCTCTAATGTGGAGAAAGATTTAAGAGAGATTCTTTTCCAGAGACAAATTTACATGTTGGGGGCTGACAAAAATAGTTCTTCCTCTGAGTGCCTAGCTTAATATGCCCTGAGAGAAAATCCTGAAGCTAGTGGTATTTTTGCTACTGACTTTAGTGGAATTGTGGCTCCAGCTTCCACTTCTATCTCTTCTTCTCTCTCAGCACACAGCACAATCTCTGAACAAGTTTCGTGTCAGATAACTAAAAGTGCAAAAATGTAGTATTTTTACACTATTACATATTGTATTGAATCAGGTGATTTGCTGTTTGACCTGCAAATGGTATAGATGATAGGTTGTGACACCTGAAGTTGATAGAAGCAGTAGATAGATGGTAGAGACATCATTGTTTTAATTCTGGGTGATAACATTTTTAATCTCCATTTAGTATTCATTCGTGTAACGTATAGTGTTTCTTGACATCAAAGTGAGGCATAGTGGAACCACTAAAAGTGTATATAATGCTGTGCCTGAACGGGATGTGGCACTATTTCATTCCTTACTGAAATGACAAATTCTTTTTCATTTTTTCTGTTGCCGTCTGCTGACTGTGCCTGAAAGGGATGTGCCACTGTTTCATTCATTACTGAAATGACAAATTCTTTTTCATTTTTTCTGTTGCCGTCTGCTGGTTTGTAACCTTCATTAGAACAAAACTATGTTTCTGCTAACCACGTAGAGATGTACTGGATATGTGAGAGACAAATCTAGGGATGGTACATATAAATGGACTGTTGTGTGCCTGAGATCTGGTTCCAGTTGAGGGCAATTACTGTTAAACTGTGTTCATTGTCTTTGACATGGACTTGGTAATCCACATCAGGGAAATGCAGCCAATTTAGATGAACTTTACGGTTCGCGCCTCTCAGATTGTGGGGACAAACAAACAAACAAACAAACAAACATAGTTATGAAAGCCCAGATCTAAAAATACAGCCAAGTGGATTATTATTGTCATTCCTGGTATGTGCCTGAAAATTCTTCATGAGTGGGCATTTGTGAAGTACGGTATCAAGACTATAGCAGGTGTTCTGAACTGAAGCGCTCATCTTTTGCAGCATTCAGAAGTCTATCCAACACTATGGAAGGGGTTACCATATGGATGCTTTTAACTTCACAGACTGTTGTCCAGTGTCTGATGATCTTTTTAAAACTACTCTTTAGAGTCATCCATATGCTGAAACACTCTCTGTCCCCATGCTTACCGTGACATGTCTTCAACATTTAATACAGTCTATCACCCTTCCCTGCTCTTACATCTCGAAGAAGATAAAAGGCTCATACATGTCCCTAAAATATTTTATTTGTCTTTTCTCTAAGATAAAATCCAAAGAGCTGTTTGGAAGATCTGATAAGACAACACAGTCTGAATTGTCTCAAATACACAGACAACTGTCTGTTATCTCTCTCTTTTGCATCGTATAACTAGCTCTATTCCCACCTCCCAAAATTCTCAGCTGAGCTAAAATAAGATAATGTTAGCCAAAAGAAAAAAAGAAAAAAAAAAAGGAAAAGTTTATTTGAAGGACATCATCACTAGAATATGCTCTGCCTTTGGGATCCCTACTCTCATATTAAATTAGCCTGAAATCTTGGACCCTTTCAGTTTCTTATAGTTCCAGGATGCCTATTCCTGACTGGATATATCTAGTCTACCTTATCAGACACAGACGAGGTTACAGCTGTCTAATAGCTCCTGGCTTCCTGACTCATTCATTGTATACAAATTCATTATATTTACCGGCATGAGTATATACCATGGGAGAAGTTCTACTGTAACAGAACTCAATACTATATCTACTTAAAGACAGATAATACTTTATTATTATTTTTATTGTCACATTCCGAGCAAAATTCAGCTACCATTCTGAAAAGGAACCATAGCAGCACATACGTGGAGACAATGCAGACCTGCTGAATTTTAGGCGCCAGAGTATTGCCAAAGTTATCTGAGCACCCTTTATGTCATTACCTGTGGTGGAAAAAGAAGTGGACCCCTCCCGTCTTATTATGTATAGAGGAATTCATGAAACAAAACTAAGTACAAGACAGTGCACTAGGAAAGGCACCATAAGAAGCCTTCTGTTCTCTGCATTATGGTAACTCTAGCATTTGATAAGCAAAGTCAAAGTGTTTTACCCATCCCTTAGTTACCTTGGATTTTACATGACAATGACTCTGTGTTTCATCTGCTTTCGCTACATAAAGACAAAAATATAAAAAGCAGATAACTTTTTTTCTAAATTTTTTAACATTTGGGAAGTATTATTTTAACACAAAATATATTAATACACAAACTATGTTAATAAAGTATCAAGGGGTTTCATTCAGCCAGAAAGGGAAAGGAAAAGGTAGTATGTATGTTATAACTTGGAATTCTCTTTAGTCTTTCCTTGGTCAAATCAGTTTGTCAAAGCAGGGTATGTTATTCTCCAGCTCATTACAGTTTCTTTGTCCAGTACAAATTATCTTTCAAAGCATATAAAAGGTGTGGGAAGCCGGATTACTGAGTCTCATTTCAGGAGAATGTTCATCAGTGGAAACAGATGTATCATATTCACTTCATGAATTCTTCCGCATTAATAATTTTTAAGTTCAGATTCATACCGCAGTCTCTTTTGTTCTGTCAAATCCCTCCTAGGATTTTTTCAAGTTAATCTTCAAAAAATTAGTTCCATCTCAGATACAGGTTTCTTGAGCTCTTGCATAGTTGTTTTCTCGAAACATATCTTGAACAATTGTAGTTGGTATTGCTTATTCCTGTGTGGAAAATATGTCACATATTGAAAAAGAACCTGAGTATTTGTGGTATAGTCATCTAAAATGGTATTTTTGCAGACTGCTTTAGATATTCACGAATGAGATTTCACATAACCTATACAACAGAGCTGCCTGATTTTAATCCTTACTATAATAATGAAATAGGGTAGAACCGTAACACAGCTGATCTGTTCAGTGTCTGGACATGACCTGGAGTGCTACATGTTCAGTTAAGAAATTATTTCACTCTTGACTAAAATTCTTAAAGCATTACAGGCTCATTCTGAGAGCTGGCAGCCGTGCAAGTCAGAAGTAGGTGCGTCCAAGTAAAAACACTTTGAAGCGATATATGCGTGGTATTAGCGGCAATTATGCATTACTGCAGACAGCACTGCAGACAGCATTGCAAGGTCTGATTATTAGATTTTTTAACCCAATTTAGTAAGTAACTGCTATGATAAATTTCACCTAACCGGAGGTTGCTATTTAGGTATTTTACTAATATATACAGAAAAGTTCTTTTAAACAAATACATGTATCAGGCTAATGTAAAGTAGTAACTTCAGTTAAAAGAGTCTATAAATTATGTAGGAAAGCCTAAGAAATTTCCCAGTCCGCTCCTCTTCTCTACAAATTCCTATCCACCTGAATAATCTGAGTTTTAACCTGGAACGCTCACTTGCTCATGTGGCACTACTTCCAAATCTAATTCTTTATTGCAAGTTAGCTAGAGAAGTGCTAACTCACATTTGTTTCATATACAAAAGGCTTGAGAAGTGCATTGGAAAAGCTTCCTCATTTGGCAGGAAAAAATCCATATTTTTATATTTCACACATATTTTAAAACATGCCAGAGATCTTGAAATTGCTCTTTTTGCTAATTTAACTTCTGTTAATTAAGTTAGGTATTCTGTAAAGAGGTTAATTTTGTTTTGAACCTGTCACATCTTTTCAAATAATTCAACAAGCTAATTGCGGCCTCTGGAGGGGACAACAGATAAGCCCAATGTAAACAATGCAGAAAAAATGTCAAGCTTCTGAATAAAATTTACGATATATTTTCTTCTTACCCTCAAAACAAAATTCCCTTTTTTGAGCCATGGTGTCAGGAGTCTGAGAATGCATGGTGGTTTTATTAAAAGGCTAAATTACTGTCATTTAGAAACCCATGTATGTATTGGAGTAAAGATTATGGTCGGAAGGGAATTATTTGTAAGTAATGCTATTACTGATGTCAGTTTTTCTTGTTTCTTCCTCACTCTTCTGTATTTTCTTTCTCTTCCCTCATAAATAGTAAATAATGACCAATGTGCATAAATCTTACATACCATATGTCTTTGTTAGGAAGGTGCCTTAAAGAAACACCAGACTGTAGGGCTTTGATTGACCAGCTAAGTAAATATCACATCCACACTCTTTTTTAATGATGTTATCAGTAAGTAAAAGGTAATGTCTATATTACTGAAATACATGTATATGACTGTCATCCAGGAAAAGAAACAACAACCACATTTCAGTTCACAGGTAAAGTGTGAGCCTGAAGGGCACAGCAGAGGAACTCTTGCCAGTTACAAACAGGAATTTACCATTTGGCTTTTGATTGGAGTTTACTGTGTCACCAGTTCAAGTTTAAGAAAACTAATTTCTGTACTCATCAACAAGAGGAATAAAATTTGAAAGAGATAATAGTGGGAGAACCAAGAAAATGGCAAAGCAAGATAAGCATGAAAACAACGAAGGAGGTGGGAATTAGGTTTTCCACTTGATTTTTTTCTAGTGATAATCAAAGCTAAATAAAACTACTGCTCCAACTGCTTGGAAAAAAAGATATCTATGGAAAAGTACAAATATTTCTTCTGAGCATTTTCCAAAGGAAAATTTTTGGATTTTTTGTTTGAAAAGCTATTTTCTGTTTTTTAAGATGGTTTAAAAGTTAAATAGTCCCTAAAGAAGGCAAGTTAGTTATTGGATCAAGCCAAATTTGAGTCAAACCATGGTGAAATTTCTCAGTTTAGTTCTGTCCTTCTGTAACACCTCTGAACATGTCCGTTAGAGACCACCCAAATACAACTGGTCTCAATTTTTCAGTGCAGCCATCAATCAGAAATGCGTATTTGCACAGCTTTGCTCCATCTTCATCTAAGACCTTAGATTCTCATCTCTCAGCCTTATTACTCTCCAGGATCCAGAACTCCCGGGGCTTACAGATTCCATAACTTCAGACCCAGCCTCATCAGACAGATTGCCCTGAAGCAGGGACTCCATTCCTTTTCTCAGGGACTTTTGAAATGACTGGCATTTGTTCTGAGCTGGGGAGGAGTGCCTAGTTAACCACAGGCATCTAGCTTGGAATCCAGTACTGGGAATTTATCCAGTATGCTTGAATCGTTGTCCTCATTTACACCTGTGAATTTATATTATATTCATTTCCATCAGTGCTTTTGCTTGCACCTGTGCAATGAATATGAAATGCTGCCATTCTAGTTTGGTTGAGCTTTACTTTTTCATCCTGCATATCTAGCTGGGGGGTAAGGCAGTGGGGAAGCAGACTCTGTACGTTTAATAAATGAGTTGTCCTAATTTCAGCAGTCTCTAATTATTAACTTAAAGTTGGGCAGATGAAAAGGACTTCAAACAAACAAACTTGCTCCTACCAAAATGTTTGACCATCCTACATTATTACTAAAAACAAAACAAAAATTGCAAAGCATTAACTAATGGACATTTGTATTTTCAGATTAACAGAGCAAAACTTCCTTACTGGAAAATGACTCTGCTAAATGCCTGCAATCTTATCAACAACATAAACAATCAAGTGGGGGAAACAGCAGAGGTAGATGAAGAAGATCTCATTTCAGGAAGACAGTTTCCCGCTGCTCTGGATGGCTTCAGCTTGGAAGCAATGCTGACAGTATATCAACTCCAGAAAGTTTGCCACAGCAGAGCCTTTCAGCATTGGGAGGTAAAATAAATGGTGACAGATAATGTTTCAACTACTATTACGCTCTTAGACTCTATTTTTCTAGTTATCTTTTAAAATTCATATCCTGTGGGTTTTTCCAAATCTCAGGTGTTCTCAGCTTAAGTCACCCCTCCTCACATTATTCAAGCTTTCTTTCTCTTGTTAGCTTGTTGATACTCTCTATTATGTCTAACAAGGTCTTATCAAAAGGGTTGTGAGTTAATGTAGACTCTGAAGAGCGGAGTGCCTCTTTTGGATGAAGACCAACAGATAAATGTGAAATATTCTTAACTACATTATTTCTCTGCCCTTTGTAACCATTCCAAAGAACCAAACACAAGAAAATGAGCGCTGGGCCAGAACACAAAGTTAATATCTGCTTAATAGGAGAGGAACGACTGCAGATTTATTCAGACAAAACTAAATATAGGCAGGGTTTGTAAAAATTATTTCAAGGACTTAAAGCAAACTGGATTCAAAATGCATGGACGTATGTACAAGTATACTAATAATTTTACTGGGTAGCCTGGGCTCCGTAACACTGCTAGGAAACCAGCAGCAGGGCAACTCCTGCTTCTCTGTTCCCCTGCGTCTTAAGAGGACCTTGGAAGTTGGCATAGTGTGTCTATGAGCTCATTGGTTGCAAACAGTGCTTTATAGTCTATCTGTGGTGTTTATCTTACTGTTATGATCGCACAGAGGCACGCTGAGTAGAATCCACTTGCACTGCTGCATATTGCATTAGGAATTGGTTTGGGTAGGGATAGAAAGTTATCATACCACTACCTACTTTCCAGTAAACAATTTCTTCAGCTATACCAGGCTCATAGACAGTCTACTAAATCTTCATCGCTTTTGTTTGCTGAACCATAGCTCTGTATTTGAAGGCTTCTTTCTCAATACTTTGTATTTGATGGGATTGTCCATGCAAAAGGCGGCAAGATCTTTGAGAACCTAATTTTTCTGAGGATCCTCTTCATCAGTGCATTTAATGCTGAAAAGGAGATGCAATCGTCCTGACCGTACACAACAGTGCATATGACTTAATCATAGTTCCTTACTTTGCAGTCCCATCACCTTTCATGATAGTTGGAAGCATCACTTTCAACAGTAGGATGCAGTAGCACGTGAAGTTTAATAAGTAATAATATTCCTCTCTCAGCTTAGGAGTAAAGTTACGCAGTACAAAGATTGATACAACAAAGAGACTGAAGAAAGCTTAAAACAAACAATAAATGTAATAAGACAAGTTCTTGTGATCTTATTCGTCTAGGATTGGCTCCAAGTCTGTTGAAACCATGAGTCTTTCCATTCATTTCAATGAAGAGTTTAGATGACTACTCATTTATTGAGTAATTGAGTGAGTAATAGAGTTTGATTGTTTAGGGAAACACTGAGGTGAGTATAAAAATGGTTTTAGTTTAATGCCTTTCAATTAGGCAATAAGATTCTATTTGACCATCTAAGAATGCAGTAATGGAATGGATGAACTCTTAATAGATAAACCAAGAACTAATCTGAGACAGTGCTTTGAAAACGGCAAATAAAATTCAAAACACAGTTACATAACATATTTTGATTGACAAAACTTTGAATTTCTTGTGCGTTTTAAAATTTTTTATTTATTTTGCACATTTTTGATTTTTCAGTTGAAGGAAGTTGCAAATAACAGCTACTGGTCAAAAGCTGAAGTCAGCAAGCAGTGGGTGTTTTAGGATTTTTTTAAGCTAAATTAAAGTTTATAGAATGGCAGTTGTTAGGAAGCTTTCACTAAAGTTTGAGTTCTTGTCCAAAGAGAGCATACCAGTTTCTTCTCTTTCACCAGTGTTGGTGATAACCAACACTCTCATTGATATCAGTGGAATTTATCACTTCTGTAGGACTCAGGTTATCTTTAGCCTGATCTTAGTTCAGTGTTCGGGGGGGATTTTGTTTTGTTTTGCTTTGCTTTTGTTGTTGAAGCTATTATGGTAAAAGAAGTGTTTCCTTATGGGAGATGCTAAGACAAATTTATAAAACTCTCTAGGAATTGTTAATTTTTATTACCAAAAAAACCCAAAACCTCAGATACCATCATGTCTCTTCTTACATCCGACAGTTACTTCAGCAAGATGCTTTTGATCTAGAGAATTCAAGCCAAGATAAGGAAATAATGAAGAGAAAAAATCCCTATATTCTGAAACGACAACTACATGTGAACAAAGCTAGAAGACCATACATACTCAAGAGAAGTTCATATTACTGATGCAGCAGAAGAAAACTATGTATATTTAGTTTATAGGTAACTGTGCGTTATGGTTATCTTATTTAAATCTAAAATCATACTTGTGTGAAAATATACTATGGAAAATCATCAAGATGATAACATAACTGTGTCTTTTTTTGCAATTGTTGTTTCTTGAATGTGATTTTTTCCTACTTGAGATTAATTGGACCAATACATTTGCAAATAAATCTAGTTTCTAAGCATGATGTATTGTACACAACTGAGATTTCAATATATTTGTTACAATATAGTACTCTTTATCTGTTTTATAAAGCACACCAACATACACCAGTGGTATCACTGGAAAAGTCACAGCACTAATTCAGTTATATGAGAAATATAAACATTCTGAAAAAAAGATTTAGAAGAGGAACTAATGTTAGAACATTTGAAACTTGCTATTGAAAGGCATTTCCCTTCCCTCCCGCTAAAAAAATTAGAATAAAAACAGGCAGTTTCAGGAGTTAAAAGACAGCCTTGCAAGTCCACCCAAAGGTGAAGATCCCAGCATGGAAAAAAGAGTTTACAAGCCATAAAAACTCTGGTGCCATCTGAGAGTCGCACGTTTTCCAGCTCTGTGTCTTGAATCCCTACACCAGTCTTGAACTCTCAAGACTCCTAGGCTCTGGTCTGGAAGAAGACAGTCTGAAAAAACTGAGGGACACAAAAACAGTCAGAGTAGGTAGATAGTCATGATCTCGAAGGCAAGAAAGGGGAACAAACATGCTCTTTTGAAACCCTGAAAAGTTTTCTGTTTGAGATATTTCCTCACAGCATTTCTGCTTTAACAGATTGCTAGAAAAAAAATACAAAAATTCCAACCTTCTCATAGATCAGATTTTCTGTCGATTATTATTAAGCATATGCAGGGATATGCATATAAAAAACATGTCCATATCGATGGTTATACTAACTTTGCTACATGGGAGGGATGATTTTGTACTGTGAAATGTATTTTCATTACATTAAAGCTAATCCTACTTCCCTTCTCACTGCAAATGTTATTAATCAGTTTATTTGTTAAATAGCCACTGAATGCATGCATTCACAAGATGTAACTGAGCATGCACTAATTACTATAATAATCATTATGATTAAAAACCAGCAAAGTACTTAAGCACATTAGATCTCAGTGGTTTAAAGGCTTAATGTGTTTAAGGGCTTTCCTTAAATAAGATTCCAGTAGATTCAGAGCCCTTTAATTTTTTAATGAAACTGTTGTAGAATTAGACTGGAGACACACTCTGCACTCAAGTAGCTAAGAAACACTCCTCTTTCCTACCACACTACAAGCTTCATAGTCCTACTATGGACACTTTAAATTCTAAATTACCTGCTGATCTGAAATAACAAAGCAGAACAGAGTTTGTTCAAAAATTCGCTGCTATTAAAATATGAGAAAAAATAGAGACTTCAGCACACCATTTACTAGGCAATATGAACACACACACACACAAAAATAAATAGGCTACCGTTATCTATTTCTCTGCATGTTCAGTTTGAGTATAGGAATTAAAAGAACGTAGGATAGGGTAATAGGAGTATTTTCTGAGAAAGAATGTTAAAATTAAAAAAAAAATGCAGGCATCCATATTTCATTTTGCAGATGATTTAGATATTCAGGGTGATGGCTGAAGGATCTCATATGATATTGTTTAAGTGTTCCACTCTTGTCTAGTGCTCCACCCTTTAATTCAAAATTACCCTGAAAGTGACTGTGTGCTGGTTCCTTGCAATGCAGAGTTAACTGATTAGCCAGGTTTACTGATTGAAAATGGCTTAAAATAATCAATTTACTTTCATTAGACTGTGAATCTGGTCTGTGACTGTGTGTCACTGGAGGAGACATATCTTAAAGTATGGTAGGAAGTAGCCTGTTAAGTTGTCCCCCAGCCTGTGATGGAGATGTTCAGGGAGCTGACGGGGGAGTGAGCCATCTAGAGTGAGAGAAAGTCCTCACTAGACAAGGAAGCAGAATGCGTAATTGTGGAACGGTCAGTAAAGATACAAAAGCTAGAGCTGATAATTCAGGTTAAAATGCAATCATTGCTGAAAAACAAGTACGATAGCATAAACACGTTGGGAATACACACAAACTATACTGTTAACCCAGATAAACAACGTAGTATAGGGGCATTTTGATGTCTGAGGGACCCTCATTGTCTTGAAACCTCCTTTAACTTTTAGCTTTTCCACCTCCTGTTGACCTCGTTGCTGTCAATTGCAGCCGTTCTTCAGCCCTCCTTGTGGATGATAGCTGCAAAAAATAGGCAGGCTTATACATACTTGCCTCTATGTAGCATATTCCTTCAGTGGGATCCTTAGGGTATGTGTCTTGGCTCTGCCTGTGCAGTGCCTGCAAAATCAACACTGTATTTGCAACAGCTATGGGTGCTGAATGAAATTCAGGTCAGAGAAGCTGCCCACAATATGTAAAGCTTTGTACATTCAGACAGCTTTTTTCTTTTTTTCCTCCCAATTCATCGTTGTCTTAAGTTTAAAAATGTTGTTCTGAAGGCCATTAACTCAGATTGTCATCTTGGCTTTTAGAAATATCTCTTGAAATGGACAGTTTCTTTTTTTAAAAGGCAATTGCTGAGAGATTTGCTGCCTTTGTCTGCACAGAGGAGGCATTTCTTCTACATAGTCCATTGCTGATGTTCATATGAAGATGATATAATGAAGATGAATAGATGCATAATTATGCCACTTATTCACCTACTTTATGTTTAATTCTTTCTTATACTCCTTGAATATTGGATATTTTCATCTGGAGAAGTTGCATAGACCTCTCAGCTATTTCTAATGTAGAATTAAAATTAACAGATATTTAAATTGATTTGATATGATATTTTTTGAATTATTATTCTCTATAGTCTCACAAAGCCCCTATGCATGAAAAGCAAAGCATAGAAAAAAGAACACTTTTCTAACCTCTAAAGAATATGCTTGTTAGTCATGCTTTAAAAGGAACCAGATTAGAAAGTAGTATTTATTGTTCTCAAGTTTTAATATGTGGGGATAAAATAAGTCTTCAGCTTTCTTGAGTCTTGCTTGTGACATATTATAATATTTGCTGTTTTCAGTCTTTTGTAATATAGGTCTAAACTATGTTGTAAGTTGTTGGGAAGAGTTTATGGCTGAGCTGTAAACAGAGTGGATGGATTGTGGAGTTTTGCAGATTAAAAGAGACAAGTGATTTAATTTTGCAATCTATGATTGTTGCTGTGGCTCATACTCTGCTCTTACCTAACCCACCCTGAGTCATTATAACCTGGTTGTGATCTCTACTCTCCCAAGATTAATTTTCAGTTTGCACCATGCTGTATCAAATTGAAAATAGAAGCCACCACTATAATGCTTGTGTATAGGAGGGCAGAAACAGGAGTAAGTCCTTTTGAAGTTCTCCAGGGTTCCAGGCTGATCAGTGATGTTCTCCCCATCCAAAATGTTAGACTGACTAAAAGCAGTCACAAAACAACTGTTGCAGAAGATCTGCAAGATAAACGATCCTGACCCCTTAGAGCTGATTATAGAGCCAGAGCTCGTAAGTTGCTCCCTCTTGGAAGCAACAGAAGCGGAAGGAAGGTTCGATCTCCATAAGGAACCCGGCAGCAAGATTTTCAGATCAGACTCAAGCATTCAAAATCCATGAGTGAGGCTGCAAAAACTGTAAACTTGAATAAAATTTCCTGACATTTAAATAAATTAATAAGTGGATGTTGAGTGATTTTTAGTTCCCTCTGTTTACTGTGCTGCCAGGGTGCATCAGATGCACGTTTTCAAGCTGTGTCAGCACTAAGAAGAGCTAAACATGGGCGGTTTCTTTTTGTTTTAAGCATTACTATTGAAAATTGGCGTTGTTATCCAGTCTCTTGAATATAGGAGTTGGCATTTTAAGATTCACACAAAAAATACAGTGTTGACGATCAGATTTCAAACACTGCCAAACCCAGGGTACTTGGATGGTTCTGAGAGGCCCAATAGTCAGACTGTGAACTAAAAAGAGCTTCATGGTACCTCATTAGCAGACAAACTCTGGCTAGCTACAATTGATGACTCCTCTGAAACAGAGATTTGGAAAATGGCAGGTATTCAGGGGCTTCTGGGAGGGGCGTTCACTATTAAAAAGTATAAAGCTTTCAGGAGCAGCTAGCTGCCCAACTAAGGCTTGGTATTTCCACATAGATGAAAGCAAATATCTGTCTCAGGATTCTCCTCAGACCTCCTCTTACAGAGGGAGAAAGTGGGACTACGTATAATTACATTGAAATTACTAAGGGACCACAGCATTTCTCTGTTGGAGCTCTAATGGGCCAGGCTGTTTTGACTCAGAAGTTACAGCCCGACGTTAGCCTAGAACTGTTTTCAAGGTACTAAGCTCAGTTCAGAGACATGAAAGTTGCACTAGGAATGGTTTTATCTATTTTACTCTTAAAGTACGATGGTAGGAATGTTTTGCGGAGTGTTTTTCTCTTGTATCTACAAAAGGGGCATCTCAGACAGTCTTTCCTTGCTTTCATAAATGCCTGCAAGCAGCCTGAGCACAACTGTCTAGATATAGCATATATTGTTAATATGATATTAACAATATATGAATGAAAAAACTGCTGGGTTTATGTATGTCAGTGAATCTTATTGTAAGAACGGTTTTGAGACATCTCCAAAGAAAATCTTGACACTATTATTGCGGTATTTTTCTGATTCATCTTCTGAAAATCCAAGCTACTTAACAGGTTTTTGTAATCTTAAAATTTAGATTTTTTTTAATATAAATCTTTTTTCTTTTCCAGAAATATTTAATTCAAGGCCTAAAAAAAATGTGTACCACAAAAAAGGAATTAGTTTGTGGTATGTCAAGCATTGTTTTTTAAAGAAAGTTGTCCATGGAGCAATGTGACTTGGAAATCATTTTTTTCTCTGGACTGAATGATGTGTAGTTCCTCAAAAAATTGTTTCAAAACCCATAATGCTTGTATGAAGTTACAGATATCTATTCCTTATGATTAAAAAAAAAATCCTTCAAAAAAAGTAAATAAAATTTCCTACTTTATAGCAGGTATAGAGAAAGTCTTACAAATATTTTATTTATTAATTCTTTAATGAGTGGAAATCTCTTTGTCACCACCTCCAAAACAAGTTTTCTAGACAATCATCACATTTTGTGTGTGTGTGTGTGTGTGTGTGTGTGTGTGTGTGTGTGTGGTTTTTGTGTGTGTGTGTATGTATGCATTAACAAATTCTTAGAGGAGCTGTATAACCCATACACTGCAATTGTTGTATTTTAGTGTCTTATTTCCTGATCTTTTAAATGAAGAGCTGTTTGGAACTAGCAACAGGCCATCTAATCTGTTCAAAAAGTAGGAATCAAAGGAATAACAGAGCAAGTGGAACAAAAGCATCCGTGTACGTGCTCAGAAATGGATAAATATATTTAAATTATTCCAAATTTGCAGCCAATAAAATATAATTTATGAGGCTATGTGACTGCAGGATACTATGGTGCCATAGCACTCTCAGAGTTTGCTGCAGAAATTGACAATAGTGGTACAGATTTATAAATGATTGTCTTTAATATACGGAAGACACAGAAGTAACAAGATTGCAGCAGCTTTTGAAGCTGAACTCCTTGGTGAATACTTAACAGCATTTACTTCAAATGTTTGCATTTACTGAAGGCAGTTTTTCAGTATAGTGGAGTTAGAACTTAATATTCCAAGAACCTGGCTGTGGAGAATAGGGGAGTTATGAACGTTACCATTTGTTTTTATAAATATCACCCATATCTCCACTTTACCCTTTTGATTTTACAACTTTTTGTGTTATAGAGGTGAATGGAAAGGAGTGTGTTAGGGGACAAACAAATGGAAAATAAAATACAGACAGATAGGGGTT